CCGGCATAATTTCACTTTTGGGGACATGTTATCCCTTTCTAATGGCTGTTTTAACATTTTAAGGGAAAGTTAGTGTTGTTCGTATATGGAAAACCTCCGCCAGTACTGGTCCCAAGCCCGGAGATAGGTTAAGTGTGGGGATATATAGCTGCCCCACCCTGTAGAAACAACTCTTGCTATAGAAACGTCACGTGAGAGAAACAGATAACTTATTCTATTCGAGGAAAGGACATCTTTTAGAGGACGTATGAAATCGTGCGATGAAAGCCGAATATCGGAAGCCACAGGACGGATCCCCTTTCCTTTGACCAGGAGCACCACTTCTGGAACCTGGAACGTTAAGACCATGTACCACAGTGGAAAGGTAAGCTAGATTGCAGCAGAAATAAAAAGATACAACCTAACGCTACTAGGGATTAGTGAGACCAGATGGATACAGTCAGGACAGAGACGCCTTGTAAGTGGTGAGACGCTGTTGTACTCAGGACGAAGACTCCTCCCACACAGAGGGAGTCGCCCTACTTCTTTCTCCTACAACCCAGACAGCGCTCATACGATGGGAGGCACATGGATCGAGGATCATCAGAGCAGTTTTTGCCACCAAGAAGAAAAGAATCAAGTTGAACGTTATTCGGTGTTATGCCCCTACTAATGACAGTGATGAGGACAAACAACATTCCTACCATCAGCTCCAGGCCGTATTGGACAACTGCTAAGAGGGAGATGTCGTCTTTCTAACGGGTGATTTCAACACCAAGATCGGACAGGATAACACCGGGTTAAGAGGTTATGGAGTGACATGATCTCGGTGAGATGAGCAACTATGGGGGTTGTCTGTAGTTGTTTGCGTGCCCTTAACAAACTTGTCATCAGTGGCAATCATTTTCCCTCACGGAAGGATCCATAAGGCCACATGGGTGTCACCGGATCACTTCACAGAAAATCAAATAGACCACCTGTGCATCAACAAGAAGTTCCGGAGGTCGCTACAGGACTGATAGTGAGGAGAGGGGCTGATGCAGCGTCTGACCACCACTTGCTCACCGTCAGGGTGAAGCTGAAGCTGAGGAGGAACTCCCAGGAACCACAGGCAGGCGACAGATCTACGATGACGTAGGACAACTGAGGGACGAGAGAGTGCAGCACAGCTTCCGGCTGACGCTTTCCAACAAGTTCCAGGTGCTGCAGGAGTTGATGGAAAAGGAGCAGAACCAGGGACGCTACCAAGGTTGCATGCGAGGAGCGCCCAGACGGTATTCCTGGAGAAGTGCTGAAAGCAGACGCGGATACCACTGTAAAGCTTATGTACCCGCTGTTTGGCAAGATATAGGTGGAGGAGGAGGAAATCCCAGCTGACTGGAGGGCTACATCATTAAGCTTCCAAAGTAGGGCGACATCAGCCAGTGCACCCTGTTGTCGGTGCCAAGCAAGGTTTTTTGGATAGGATAAAAAGCGCAGTCGACCTCAGCTCAGATCTATCAACAGGCGGGATTCAGGAAGAACAGATCATGCGCGACCTGATTGCCACACTACGCATCGTAGTGGAGCAGTCATTGGAATAAAATTCACCACTCTACATCAACGTTGTGGACTACGAAAAGGCATTCGACAGTGACTCTATGGAAACTCCCTAGGCACTACGGAGTACCACAGAAGATCATTAATCTGATACAGCACAGCAATAATAGGGTGAGCTGCAGAGTTGTGTATGAAGGACAGCCCACACGACAGTTTCAGATCAAGACCGGATGAGACAAGGGCACCTTCTGTCTCCATTCCTTTTTCCTCCTGATTATTGACTGGGTGATGAAGACGGCAACCGACCAGAAGAGGAATGGTATACAGTGGACAGTTTGGTCTCAGCTTGATTACCTGGAGTTTGCTGATGATTTGGCTCTACTGTCCCACAACCACCAGCAGATGCAGGACAAGACAACCAGACTCGAGGATTCCTCTGCACAAGTAGGCCTGAGCATCCGCCCAAAGAAGATCAAAGTCAGGAGTATGAACACTACGTGTACTAACACAGTATTGCTACAGATAAATGCTCTCGAGGAGGTAGACGCCTTCACTTCCTAAGGAAGTATCATCAATAGGGAGTGTGGGAGGGACAGATGCAGATGTTAAGTTCAGGATTGGGAAGGACCGAGCAGCCTTTCTACAGCTCAAGACAGCATGGAATCCCTGGGAACTTTCAACAAAGACAAAAATTAGGATTTTTAACTCCATTGTGAAAGCAGTACTCCTGTACGGATCAGAAACATGGAGGATGACAAAACTACTCTTCACAGGATCCAAACCTTCAGCAACGGCTGTCTCGGGAAGATTCTGTGGATACACTGGCCGGAGAAGATAAGCAACACCGACCTCTGGGACAAGACAGACCAAACGTCAATGGTACATGAAATAGGGAGGACGTGCAAAATTTATATGTCTGGGGCACACACTCAGGAAATTAACACATGAAGTACAACACGAAAAGCGCTCACTTGGACACCCCAGGGAAAAAGGAAAAGAGCCTGGCCAAGAAGCACGTGGCGACGAGACCTCCAGGCAGACATTAAGAGGCTGGGTTCCACCTGGAGACAACTTAAGGCAAGGGCACAGGACATATAGCTCTCTGGAGGTCTCTGACAGACGGCCTTATCCTGGAACTCTTTCCCAAATTGTTCGGGTAGTAGTGTTTCACATCCGTATGCAAGGATTTCCATAAACCTCGCATCTGCAGTGTGTCACAGAAACCGTTGAACAGACTTCAAATGGGGGGGGGACATATCCCCAACTTTTTTTTTTGGGGGGGGCGCGAGATTACCAATATAATCACCCCTCCCCTACACACTTTTTAACTCATTGACTATGCACACCCTTGAGTCTACACCACCGACTCCGTGTCCTTGCTTGCCGGCGGCGTTACGATCTCACCAGGGATGGAGGCCATGCTGTGAATACAGAAATCATCCCTACCACGTGACAAGAAATGTCCGTCCATGGCAAGGTCACCACTGGACTTGAACATACTCTAATTTTTTGTAAGAACCATTGAAAAAAGTAAAAAGGATAATCTTCCACTTTTTGGGATGAACAGCTGCAAGCCTGTTGCCTGACCAGAGATGGGGGGAGGGGTCGTCAAACCAAAAAGTGGAACTTTTGGCACTGTGAACACGTATTTTTATACAAAGGCCTATCACAATGTGCCTTGGAAAACAACATTGAAAAGTTGCATGTCTGTCGCGAACCAAAGGTTGCATGTAAAACTTGTGTACTCTGGAGTTTTCAATATTGAATAACTTAACAAAAATACATTGATTTCATCAAACCCTTTGAAACACCTGAAATGTGGATATTTACCGGAACTTCCTGACGGTACATATGACTAGAGATTGATTCATTAATATGTACAAAACTCCCACCAAACACGGAAAAATGTTCAAATCACTGCCACTTCAACCAAATTCCGTTTCTTGGGTTTAGATTTCGACCGTGTGTCCCACAAAACACTTCAATTTGCGACAGATGAATGGCACTTGAAAATTCCACCTTTTTGAGTAAATTTGAAATATTTATTTCGTGAAATTCTTGTGGGTACCACTTTAGTACCCCACAAGGATTAAAACTGGCCTTGTGGGGTACCTTCCATTGTTCCGGTACCCCACAAGGCACCATGTACAAGCGCACACAGACGCACCCCCCCACACACCCACACAAAAAAAACCCACAAACAAGCGGAACTCAGAAGCGAGCGGGGGGGGGGTTCGTTTGAACCCCTTGAACCCCCCTGCCTTCGGGCCTGGTTGAGAAAAATGATTGCATCATGTCCACAACAGCCGGGAAATGAACCGGGTCTTCAATTGCAGTGCTGCACAATAATCACTAGACAATCATGCACTGCTCGAAGCTACGAAAAACACATGCATTTTTTTTTTGGATCATTCTTGATCTGCCGATCTACCTCACCTGTACATTATTCAGCACTCAAGACCGTCCTGTGTTTAATTGATTTTGACAAGACAGATTACAACAGCTGCAATCTAATTTTTTTTTTTAGTTTCCTGGAAGCAGTGCACTCAAACATGAAAACAAGGGAATGGAATGAAAACAAGGGAATGGAATGATACTCAAACGGTTTAAAATGACAGATCCCCAAAGCGGCCAGTTTTGACAAATAACCACACTGCAATTAATGATGTACATATACACAGTGTACTACATTTAAATTCACTGCTTCATTGTACTAGGCCTAAACTGAAATTCACAACTTCACAACCTTTAATGTTCACTACTTCACCCATCTAGCGGGTGTCACGCCAAGCGGATCCTGCTAGTTTAATCATCAATGTAAATTCCATCGGTCCACTGCCTTTCAAAAAAAGCCAACAGACGTCAGCACTCTGGGTACAGACGAACAGGAGCGGTTACAGTCGTACTGCGCTTCAAAAATCAGCCCAAAATAATTTTCAAAAATGTATAGTAATCGCTGCTAAATATTAAGTGCAATGTTTTGTATAGATAAATACGTAAAAGTTAGTTACCAAACAAATCTATATTTGCTTTCTTTTCGTGGAAAACGGTAACCACTTTTTGAACCAATTACCGAGGGCGTTCTCAGTGCGCACGAGCTCATTAATGTTTTGTGATCCAGCAGGGTTTTTACAATAAGGCATGCAATAATCAGGACGGACCATAGAGATATTTCTATAAATTATGAATTTGGGACTGGTAATTTCCAGTTTTGGGTATATCTGTCACAAAAAGCCCCAACCTATGGGTCTATTTCGGATAGAGGCTGGCGGCTACATTCGGAGCCTAGCGCTTGGGGAAAGGCGAATAAAAAAATCACGTGGCAAACGCCGATGAAATTGAAACGAAAAGTGAAATTCTTGAATTTCCAGTGAAAAACTGCTGGCAAACCTCTTCACGAGTGTAACTGCTGATGAGAATGTCTGAGTCCTGTCCCAAGAGGGCGCTCTTCATTTCCACCTATCTCGATATCATCATGTGCTATCAGTACTGTACATGCACTCAGTACTGGCGAGACCACTGACACTGTGACAGAGTATTTTTGCTTATTTTCGACTGGGTTAGGTTGCAAAGAATGTCACTGTTTTGGCAGTTTCTAAGTTAAAATGACTACCACCAATACCACGCATGCATCTCCAAGAGATAATGCACTGCGGTTTTGTTTTGCTGGCATTGGTGGCATGTGTGCATCTTTTGGTAAGAAACAATTTGTGACATTGTGTGTCACTCTGTTGGGTTGAAGCTGTGAAGGTCATCCAGTTTTGATCGTTGTTTTCAAATTGCATGTAACTTAAGGAAGGTGATTACGACATTGATTGATATCTTGCATTTTTTGTTTTTTCAAATCAAAGAAATTTTTTTCAAATTAAAGCCTTATTCCCTCGAAAACTGGCATGACTGGTCTCTGTTGGATACGTCACTACTAACGTTTACCTCCAGCACTGTGGGGTCCGATGTGGGAGCAGAGCCAACTGGAGAGAGAACCAGCCAAGGGCATTGTGTATATGTATTAGCTTTGACACATGTCACATGTATTTTTTAAGCGACGACTCAAGCAAAACTTGAGATAAACATAAACAAATTATTTTTCCCCCTTCTTGGCTTTTTACTTATTTTGCGTAGATGTTGGTCCCAAATCCTCACACTGAAACATTTTGTGGGGGAGGGGGGGAGCTGGCATATGTATGAATATGGACAGGAATTCAGAACAGGTGCCTGTGTCCGTGATCTGAAAATCACTATACCAAACCACTGCTGTACTGAACATTTTGTGTGGACGCTGTAGTGTTCATTATAGTGACTTTCCACTGTAGTTGTAGGCCTAATGGCAGAGTAAGTTGGCACTGTCAAAAAGGTCAAAATGTGTTAGGAGTTAGTACATACATGTAGCTATCTGTAAGGTTTGTATAAACCTTACAGTTCTTGAAGAACATTTCTACCATGCTTCGAGTACCTACATGTACATGTACAATCCTGCACTGTTATGGACGCCATTTCAACCATGTGTCCAGGAAAAAAGAAAAAGAAAGAAAACATACCCCTCACTGGCATATTATTCGCATATTATTTGATCAGTGAAGGAATTCAGAAAATTCTGACCAAAACAGTTGGGACACATCACAGTAACCCTCCCCAGGCATGCCTGGTTCCATGCTCCATTGTTACTCCTGAAGTTGAAGTAGTGACTGTGTGATGAGAGATAACATTGAGCATTGAGCCGGTGCCAGGGAATGAGGGAGGCCCAGCAAGATTTTGCCAGGATTGTAGCCAGCTTGACACCCACCAACTCATCATCTTGTCAACTTGGCACTTGACCAAGTTAGTACAAATCCCACTTGGTGCCTGATTGTACCCTTTCTCCAAACAAAGCACCAGAAAACAGCACCAGACTACATGTACGTGTACATGTACATGTAGGGCCTACATCTTCGCAAGGCCTGTCAAGAAGTGATTATCTGCAAACAGATGCAGAATTAGCGTAGGATTACTTGAAGTCACAAAATAATTTAAGTCTACTGACCACAAAAACAGACAGGCCAACAAACTTACACTCAACGTAGCAAACCACCCCCAACCTCAATCACAATTAAAAATGGTGCAGCCAAATCTACGTTTGCAGTTGGCCCATTTGGCCATACTCAATTTCCCAGGAGAGGGGAAGGATAAGTTGGCTAAGTCCTGATTTGGTGGTTGACGAGCTGGCATGGTGCCGAAGTGATCAGATATCCTCTCATATACTCAGTCTCAGTACTAACGTAAAACTGCTTTGTGTCGCTTGAATCCTGAAACCCTAAAACTGGAAAGGCAATGAAAACATGCGATAACTAAGTAGGTGAATCCATTGATGTTGTCACTGGACATTACAGAAAGTAACAGTACGTTGCTGTTGTTTCCAAAGCAACCAACCCAGTCGATGTGACCAAAGTTCGCATGCAGCTGGATGGTGAATTGGCCAATCAGCGTGGACAGCTCGGAAAGGTGTACAAGGCTCGTCACTACAAAGGCATTGTAAGGGGTGCTGTGACTATCGCAAGGGAAGAAGGAGTGTTGGCTCTGTACAAAGGGTGAGGAATGGATGATGCCATCTGAGTCGAAAGAGACTCGCAGATCCTTCAAAATTTAGGTTTGAAAGGCTTCTGTAGGATTGAGGGTGCTAGAACCCAGCCACTGATACTATGCATAGAATGTGTGCCAATGAGTTTCTTTTAAGTGAAAGATTTTAGAAAATCTTGGAATGGTACTGATAAAAAGTAGCTTCTTTCTAGTAATCTGCTGATTTAATTTTGAGCAAGCACTTTTTTTCATGGTTTACTTGACAATTTATTGTAGTGAAGTAAACTCTAACCAACAGAAGTGCAATGGTATTGCGCTACTCTTTTTGGCAGTATATATCTTGTCATACTAGATTAGATCAATGAAATTGAATGAGAGAGCAAGAGGTCATCATATTATAGACACGTACTAACATGACATTTTAAAGTTAGTTTTTTAATATTTATCTTGTTTGCACCTTCTCCATTCCGCAGCCTGACCCCTGCGTTGTTGCGTGAAGCCACGTACAGCACCATTCGAATTGGAGCCTACGAACCAATCAAAGTGTTGTTTGGAGCCACAGATCGTCATCACACACCATTGGCCAAGAAACTGGGAGCGGGAGCTACCTCAGGTATTTAAACAAACATCTATTTCAGTGAACTTCTGATGAATTGGTTTGTTCACAAATCTGAACCCGGGTCCCTTCATGTCATCACTGCGACATGATCTAGCCAATGAGAAAGCATTTGGGGAAAAAAGCAAACGTATATGCTAATCCTGTCACATTTTTTTTGAAATGAGGTTCTAGAAGAGTTTGAATAATAGAGAAGGTTCAGTTACTTTTAAAAGGTATGGTGCCGTTCCCTTTCAAAGCTAAGAAAGTACTTACGGTTTCAAACTGTTGCAGGATTTAGAGAGTTTTTATGGCCAAAAAAAATGTGGAGGACGTAATGGCAGTTTACATTGTGGGAAGACATTCCCAGAGTTCAGTCAGACATGCACGGTAGGAACTTACATGTACAGCCCACTATGCAAAGTGCTGTCAGATTTTAATGATAAGGTTAATGATAAGGTCATTCCAAATAAATCCTTTTTTCTCTATTGCAGCCCCTCACCAGCTTCGGGCATTGAGGGGCACAGTAACAGAATGAATATAGGTTTTATAAATGCTCTTTACTGGTGGGGCGCAGATTCGTGCCGGGGACCTGGCCCCCTCGGGTCCCCCCTTGGCAATGGACAGTACAACTTTGGCCGAGCAGAAATGGTAATATTGATAAGAATAGAAACTTCATTTCTCATTTCAAGATAAAAAATGTTTCAAATTAATCAAAATAAGAAAAGTATGAACTTGTTCAAGATTGTTTCTGAGCAGTGCATTGTCATAATTACTGGGCAATTAGGCATTGCTGTGTACCTGGGTACCCGCAACCCATCCGCTGAGTACTCGGTTCCATTTTGTCGTTTTTTTTTACCCGAAACTGTCCTTCAAAAGATCTACACAACAGACAAGCAAACTTTTCGTATTTATTTGCTGGTAAATTGTAAGTAAAGAAGTCGGAGTAAAATGTGTTTTGTGTCCATTTGACAATAATTCAGATCACAAATGAATCATCAAAAAGAACCAGTCACGACACATGTAGCTTATATTAGGATGGCTGGCTTTGCCTGCCGACACTTTGGTCTTTTCACATCAGGATGACTCGTATGCATGCTGCATGAACCAAACCTAGCCTGATTGCTACCAAGGACATGTACCAAGGACCCAGTTGTAGCCTGTGTGCAGGCAGTTCAATTGCTGACTCTATGGCAGCCATGTGACCACAGAAGGAAAGGTCATGTGACTCCACATACTAAAACAATTCAAGTGAAATGAAGCCTCAACTATGCGCTGCTTGTCATGCTGTTACAGAGATGAAAGTTTTAACCCCCCTGGTACAACATTTAAGTAGCTTATTTCTTTTAAGGAACTTTAGGTAACAGCAAGATAAATCTTAGCAAAAAGAAACTATACAATGTATACCATTAGTATTTACAAATAGAAGGAAAATAACTGGAAGAATGTACCACTGCTGATCCAGTTGATTTTGATTTCTTATCTCTTGTGAAGGCTTGGTATGACTCCATGACCTGGGAACTTTTGTCCACTTGAAATTCGGATAACTCAACTTTTAAGCCGTTGCCTCTGATGTTCCAAGTTGTCGAGATATTACTTTCTTTTATTTCACACTTACAAGCTTAGAAATGAAAAGTTTACGTTGGAAAATAGTCCCGTGCGATGTTCGTTCCTGAACAGGTGCCATTGAGTGTGCCAGAGTAATGCTCAATCCAGCTGCTAGGCAGTAGAGTTGGTGAAGCTGCAGTAAAAACTACTTGACTAACGTGTTGGACTTCATAAGAGATATTCCTTGAAAATCATATGTTCAGATTTGGACATTTCTTACCATATCAGTGCCTTTTTTTACACTCCAAGACAAAGTATTGGAATGATACATGTACTTGACACAGTGCCCAGTTGTGGCCCACTGACACGTGAGGGTTCCAAACCTGCTAAACCTCCACAAGCTAGTTCAGGCATACATGTATGTTTGTGTGTGCATAAAAGCAATGCAAGTCATTAGAGCATGCAGAAATTATTGTCATGGTGTGTGTACAAGCCCTCCATGTACATGGAGCTATCACAGGTATAACACCACCTTAAAAGCACATGATTTGTTGCAGTTAGGGGTCTGTTTGGTTTATACAGCTTGCATACGAGTGAACCTATTGTTAAAAGACCAAAGTGTGCCAGGCAAAGCTGGCCGGATTACTACAGGTAGGTTGCATGTGCAGTGTGTTGTGACTGGTTCTTTCCGTTGATCTGTCTGTGATCTAAATTGTCATTAAATGGATTCAAGGGATATTTTACTCAGATTCTGTTCTAACAATTTATTGGCAAGTAAGCAAAGGAAAAGGTTGCTTGCCTATCTAAAATGTGTTTTCTAGGTAATATATAGTGATAAACTTGACAAAATATAACCAGGTACAATGCACCCATAATCAACGGTCGGGTAGCGGGTACCCGGGCCCTCAGTATGGCCTTACATGTACGTCTGATGTGAGCTTGTTAACCACTTGTTGCTGGGGATTCCGGTTTTGGACATGTATTCTTTATACGCCTGGTGGGGGTTTCCAAAATCAGACAAAGGGAACTGGGTCTCTAACAAAAGACCATACTCATAACAAAAGACCAGGCTGCTGGACATTATCAACATTTTTCACTCTCAAAAGTGGCGAAAATCCAGCCTTGTTTTGAAACTGTATACCAGGGTTTGGGGCATTGAGAGTGAGTGGATTACCACCGGGGACAAAAGCGCTCCACCACCACAGCGATGAGACACACATTACCGCTGCCTGCTAATCTGGCCCCTATTAAAAGAGGTCAGCAGCGCATTGTGCCAGTTTTGTGAACAAAAGAAAATTACATACTAAACACCGCACAATCTGGGCTCTTTTTACAAGGCGGCAGGCCTGGCTGAAATATTCCAACGTCAATAGATATTGTCTGTCAGATTAGACAGACTAGACAATCCTTTGTGTGGGTGTAAGTGTCCAGTAAATGAAGATATGAATTTTTAAAGATTTTTGAAAACAGAAAAAAAACATTATGCCGTCCCAGCATCATCAACATTCATAAATGTCCCCGGCACGAAGCGGTTAAACATAAATACTGAAACTTGATGCATCCTTTGCAGGTGCAATAGGCAGCATGATAGCTGTTCCTACCGATCTCATCCGTGTCCGCTTACAAGCCCAGGGTCATTTGAGCACTGGAGAGCAGCCCAGGTATCGGGGATTCACCCACGCCTTCACTGATATCCTGAGGAAGGAAGGCTTTAGGGGCCTGTACAGGGGAACCTCACCCACAGTGCAGAGAGCTGTCATAGTGACTGCAACACAGGTAGAAATTGTATTGCTTGCTAAGGTTAAGATTGGCGCGGGTTGGTAAAATCTGTCCAACTGCTTGTCGGTACTGAGTAAGGGAAATCAGATAGACCCAAAGTGCCAGCATTCTGTCCTTCAATGAAAGCACACAAAAGATTGACGTCAGTTGTTAAAATGACAGTATTCTTTCTGATTATGCTCACCTGATTGTGAATTGTATTAAAACTTCAAAGAAAAACTTTAATTTACAACATCTGAACTTAACTTGCTTTCTTGATGTTTCGATGTCTAGATGTTCCCCTACATCAGATGTCAGCATCTGGCTGTTAGGTGGTGATAGCCAGATTAGGATTCCACATTTGACATGACAAGTAGCCTCACGTGTCCCTGTTCACGTTCTTGGTTCTCCTGATTGATATTGTTTCTTTGACCCATCTACAGGGAGTAAACTATGCTGCTTCTCTGTGCTGATGTCCCAGTCCATTACTTGATTTTCCCAAAGTACATCTGTTATTACCAATTTATTGAGGATAAGTTTGCAAACCAATCCAAAAAAATAAGTTTATTCCTGTAAAAGCAGAAGTACTCTCCCTGTGTAGCCCCAGGGCCTGTGACTGGCCACAGGAAGGTCATTCAGGCCTATGGCATTCAGGGCGCATTGAAACCTCAGGCTATGATGAGAATCAACAAGTTTCCGTCTATTAAATCTGACAGGGCTTTCCACTCAAAAAATAGTTCCCTTGGCTTATAAGGGATTTCTCACATACACGATTTTAACGCAGAGGTCCATAGATGATAGAACTACCTGTGCACAAGGACAAAGGAATACTTCACACACCATGAGCAGTCCTAGCATTTGCCATGATATGATAATGATAATCACTTATGCATGGTACCCCAAACATGAGCTCAGGAACACAGTGTGTCCCTTGCTGACTTGTATGACTCGTGATTTGGACTTGGGCTTGAGTTTGACTCGAGTCGTTTTTTTTGTGACACGGACTCGAGTCACTTTGACTCAGACTTGGACTTGAAGCTGCAGACTCGGAGTCAGACTCAGACTTGACCTGCATGACTTGTGACTCCACAGCAATTATATCATTGCATTTTTTTTTATAGAGCCTGATGCAGCTTTTGATTGGGGACATTGATGCCCTGAAGCATGTACCCTGCCCAAACTCGATACATGTTCTTCATTAATACATGATAATGTATTCGGTATCAGACTATTCTTGTCGGACAAAGACTGGTGCCCTGCCAAACAAAAGCTTAGAACGACTTGTATTGCTGTTTGAAGAATCTCAGTTGCAGCTGGTTATGGGTCAGATGATCTGATGTCAGTACGGTCTGTACTTATGTGAAAGCACAGTTGTGGCATCCATTCCAAAATAGTAAACTTTGGGTTATCATTTTTAAGAGAAATAGAAACGGAAGATTCTGAAGGAGAAAACTAAAGGAAAGAATGTTCCATGTCTGCAAATGAAACATTTGAAAAAAGCCTGAAAAAATTTTTGCAATACAACAATAAATGTGACTCGTGACTCAGACTTGACCTATGTGACTCGTGACTTGGACTCAGACTTGAACCAAATGACTCAGGACTCGGACTCAAGAGATGTGACTCAGACTTGGAATGGATGTTTTGTGACTCAAATACAAGTCTGTTCCCTTGCATTCAAGCTTTCTTAAGTGACTGTGTAGCCTCATTTATTGTTTCTGTGTAGAATCAATATTAATGAGCCTAACGTGATGAGAGTTGAACTCCAAATTAGGACTGATGGATTTTCTTTGAACTGGGTGCCCATTTCCCATAAAATTGTCCCATTGTCCCTGAAACTGGCCCTTGTTAAAACCTGAAGTGTGAGGACTATGCACAAAGGACTATGTCACACTGCCATCAGTGTGCCCTTAAAATAAATCAGAAATGATTTAAGTGTAATTCTTTGGATACAGAAACAATATTTTTTATTTTCTTTTCGTTCACAGCTGATTAAACAAAGGCTGTTCTTTGTTTTCAGGGAAAAAGTTGTGGTATTTATCGAGGTGGTTTGGGGTAATAAAATTGAAAGATGTGGAATGATGCATCTGTCAATTCCAGTTGGGTATTAGGCACTGGCCCTCCTCCCAATTCTAACATTCTTAGCACTTTGTGAACTTATTGTTAGGTTCCGACATATGACCATACCAAACACACAATTCTCAACCATGGCTGGATGATGGAAGGCCCAGCATTGCATATAGTGTCTGCCATGACAGCGGGCTTCATGTGTGCTGTCACCACCTCACCCGTTGACCTCATCAAGACCAGGGTCATGAACCAGCAGATCAAAGGTCAGCATTTCAAACAAATTTGTTTCCTCCATTTTGTCATTGTAAAAAAGGTATACATGGCATACATTTTTTCAGAATGAATGTATACATGTATGACACAGCATCATGTTGTTCATGTAGCCTTTCGTATCATTTACATCACACCAATCCACCCTGACTTGAGGTGCACCCTTCAATGTTGATGATGCTGGGCCGGCATGACTATCATTTTTTCCGTTTTCAAAATCTTTCAAAAATTCATCATTTCATTTAACGATCGTTTATAGCCGCACGAAGTAATCTTTAGGCACTACTCTAAGTTGACA